ATTTATGGTAGCTTAACTCCTGTTGATGTTATAGTAGTGGAAAGAAGTATAGAATATGGTTTCTTTGAAAGCTAGCAACATTTCTAATAACCTAAATATGTCAAGTATGTTTTTTTTCTACTGTTAATTTAAAGTAATTCTTTAAGCATACGTATAAAGAGTGACCACAAAAAAACTGTGATTTTCGCCCGTTTTTTTCACAATTCGGAGAGAATTAAAAAAATACATAAAAAATGTTTTTGGACGCAAATTACTTGTCGTGCAAAACTGAAATGAGCATAGCTTTTAGTATTTTGAAAATTTTAAAAATCATCCCTACTTAGGGGTCGAAAAAATGCCAAAAATGAAGAATTTAAATATTACCAATTGATATAAAAACTATTAGCATGTGAATTTTCTAATATATTTTTTTTTGGAATTTTTACAATTATTTCTGATATTCTCTATTTTTGGGGATGATTCCACCCCCTGAGCGCGCTTAAGGCTAGATTTTCTAATTCAACATGCTTATTTAAGTTACGAGAATAAATATTTCTTTGTATTCGATAGAAAAATTCACAGTTTTTATATTTATTGGTAATCTTCAATTCTTTTCAACCCCTAAATAGGGGTGATTTTTGAAAATTTTCAAAAAACTGAAAGCTATGCTCATCTTATTTTTTGCGACGAGTAATTTGAGACCAAAAACATATTTTTATCTATTTTCTTTAGTTCGCTGCGAATTGTGAAAAAACGGGTGATTTTTGCGGTCACTTTTTGGTGGTATAGTCTTTCCGATGTCAGTTGAACATGTATAAAAACGCCTGGCAATAAAATTTAATGAGTTTCATGGGCGCCCCTAAAAAAGTTTTCTAATAAAGGTAAAAAATTATAATAATTTGTATATAATGTGTAGAAAATTTCTATCATATTTTAATTATTTATGCCTTGAAACAATTTTTTTATATTTATAGTAAATTTCGTTTTGTTCCGTTTCAAAAGGTCTCCAAAATGCTACGTTGTAATAATATTAGTAAACAAAATATTCCTCTTATTGCATACCCCTTTCGCAATTGTAATATGAATGATTAATAGAATGTGCCTGTAATAAATTAAAATGACCTGAATCACCAAATTCCGCATTGCTGCACTGCACTGCTAGGCTATTGTCAACCACTTGTTAACAACTGAGATTTATTGCCCACTTGCCCAGTGCGACTATGTTTGTGCGCCATTTGCCCGCGCGCGCAATCTTCAACTGGGCTTATGCATTTCTACCACCTCCATGTTTAGTTCGGCTAGACCTGTATATGGGTATGGCAAAATAAATATAGGAACAAGTTTTTCAAATATTTCAATGCCGAGTTGCTGCGTCAGCGACCGAACCTGGTACATACTACCAACCTCTTGGTTCTTCAATTGAGATCGAAAAGACTATAACTCTATTAAGGTAAAGTAAAATACAAGAGTTAGTAAAAAACTTTAAAAAAATTAATAGTTTTATAAGAAATATCCTTTGCTGAATCAAGATTATTCTGAGATGCTGAGGAAATAAACTGAAAACGACGGAGAGTTTTGCTGTTTTTTCTAGATTAAGTTGCTTTGGATCTATGTTGAACACTGGAAATTTCTTATCTGTGGAAGATTAGAAGATTAAAATTAGCGATTAAGGAATTAAGATTTTTCTAGTCTAATAAATCTATTCTACCTATGTAGAGATAGCAAAAATTGCTAGAGCAAGAGTTTTCTGTGGAGCATATGTTACGGAATCGACCCCACTACCCAATTAATTTATAATAGCGTCGCGGAAAGGTTATTTCTTTTGTTTTTTTTTCCCGATAAATGAAGCTACAAGTTGTATACACGGAGGAGCAAGCGCTGGAAAAAATCGGAGTCCAATAGTGGCGAGAGTACTCGTGCATATTTAACTCGCCAAACACTAGACCTGTGTCGGTCTGCATAATTCAGGGTATCGTCCTGTCGGCCTATGAATTATGCACCGGCTTTTAGGGTGCCAAATTGGCTCCCGCCCCCGGTCGTTCCAGGACATCGCCTGGCCAGCGGTGTGAATGTGCTGCGAAATCGCGGGTGGCGCTGAAATGGCGATAGGATGGACCGCGTGATGGATTCCGATAGGTTTGGGAAAAGGCGAAGACGATTCCGATGATTCCGTTTTATTAGAGAGTCTTCCGATTTCCCTACTCGTACTTCGACCTTTTTAATATGAATTGTTGACAAAAAGTAATTAATTAAATGATTATATGATTATTATTTTTTCTTTTTCTTTACGAGGGCAGGTCTTGCAATTCCCTCCCCCATCCTCAACCTCTTTATATTTTTTTGACAGCTCTTTGATGGACATGTACAAACATCCACGTTCAGATGTGCAGTAACAGAATTTGAACCAAAAAGTGAACAACTAAATCGGTATGCTCTAATTCTTAAGTCGTGCATTTGACTCCTATTACTGCGATACTATATTTTAGTATATAATTTTACCTAACAAAATCATCTTAATGGCAGTCATGTTGATTTAAAATTATATTAATGAATTACATACTAACTTGGAACTGACAGATTTCTATTAGACTATAAGATTTTTTTTTCAGTATGAGCTAATTTTGTATAACTGAAAAAAGCTAAAATTATGATTGCTGGATCTATAACGACAAATGTGTGTTACCTACTACTTATCTAATGTTGTGGGTATCAAAATTATAATATATTTGTTGTACTTTAAAAAATTGAACATAAGAATTTACTAGTTAAAATTTTTGATATCATTTCTTGGGAAGCTAAAAATTATGAACATTTGGCCCACTTTTACTACTTCACTTGAATAAGATATGGGATAATTCGGCGAAATATTACAATAAACATATATCACACATTACAATTATCGCGTTTTATAGCAGGTAGCTATATCTATATACTGTAGTATTTGTCCAAATTTTAGAGGTCCATATATCAAGGAAATTTTAAATTGGATTTAATTAAATCTTTTAGCAGCAGACAACCAAACTTGATTTAGTTAAATCTTAGTCAAACTGCGTTTGGCCGTAAATTAGGTTAATAGCTGTGACTAGCAATAGCACTAGTAGTGACGTCACTATGTCCGCTGTGAGGCTTTGTGTATGGGTAGTCTGATTTGGAATTGCAATAAAAATATAATTAAGCAGAAGGGATATAACGAAATACTAGAATTGTTTTTGTCTATTAATTGGCATTAAAGAATCCGCTTTTTCGCCATAACTACAAGGTAAGGTACTCCATGTAAAACAGATTTTTCCATAATAGTCCAATTAAATGGGCCTTTAAATCGAAATTTTTTCAACTTGCCCGAATTTTTGATATAAGTAAGTTTGAGGTATATAATAACAACAAGTGACAGTCATTTTTTTTCGACCCCCGACTAGGGGTGAAAAAAGATAAAATAAAGAGGTTCTTCAAGATAACTCAAAAGGGGTAAGAGCTAGAAAAAAACATTTCTTATAAAAGTTATAGAGCATAACATTCTACATAAAATTGGTCTATTGACTTTTTCTTGTGCTATTAAAATTAACAAAGTTATGGAGACTAGAAGTTAAGGGAAGCTTCCAGAAATAAAAAAAATCATAACCAGCAGAAAAATGATTGAATTTTATATATTTTTTTTCAGTCTACTCTAAAAAATGTAAACTATCTTTTCAGAGAAATAGATATATTTTTTAATTTTTAATTAAATTTAAATTATAACAATTTCACAAAGCGAACGTGATTTTCTATCTTTTTGGTAAAACCAAATGCCGAAAGTAACTTTTTATTACTTTAAATAATAAGTCGAATGGCATAGAAAAAAAATGTTAAATGTTAGTGTTAAATCATAAAAATTAACGATTACAGAATTGAAATTGTTATAACTTCTTTATTAAAAATTAAAAAATATATCTATTTCTCTGAAAATAATGTTTACATTTTTTAGAATAGATTGCAAAAAAAATAAATTAATTTTTCTATTTATGATTTTTTGAAATTTCTGAAATCTTAAGGGATGATTTCACTTACTAGTCACCTTAACAAATTTTTTTTCTAGGTCGTACCCGTTTTGAGTTATCTTGAAAAACCCCTTTATTTTATCTTTTTTCTTCCTTGGACGAGGGTTGAAAAAAAATTATTCTCATTTACTTATGTACCATAAACTAACTTAGGTATATAAAAAATTCAGGCAAGATAACCAAAATTGCGATTTAAAGCCCATTTAATTGGACTAATAATAGCTCTGGTAATATGTTTCATCAAATAAAAGATGCACCAAATTAACATTGTAAATTTATTTTCGATCATACAGGGTGTTTCATTTCTTCAGAGCGTTGCCTAACTTTATTTTTTCAATTACCTAAATCTGTCCACTAAAAACTACTTCATGTTTCGGCTGACATTCAAATCCAGAACTTTTTAAAGGAAAATTTAGTACTCATTATAGGATTTTGCTCGAATAATTTAACCAAAGGACTGTACTATTTCCCTTTTCCCATTGCATTTAACTGGTAACGCAACTGCAAAACATAGAAGTAAATCTAGTCAATTTTATCCACCAGAACCACTTAAAACATTGCAAGAACTAATTCAGATTCAATTCGAGCTGGTTGGCATGAGTTACAAGGTACTTAGTTCGTCCACTTAAATGGTAATATCGTCCAGTTTGGTGGGATGAGAGCTTATCTAAATGACTTCCATTCAAAGTGAAACGAACAAAATGGAAAAACATTAAAAAATCACCTATAAATTACGATTAGTTTGGAATTAACAGTAATCTGTATAAACACTAGTAAAAATAAACCGATGTTTTGGTAATAATCGGATCATTTACATTAAAACTACATAAAGAGTGACTCTAAGTGCAACGAATGATGCCATCTACTAAGAAAATATCATTAAAGACCGTTTTTCTAGTAAAAAGAGATAATGGAATATAAAGTCAAGATAATACTCTGGTTTCTTAAATGTAATGTATCAATGAGTATATTTAAGCAAATAGTTACCTTTCCAATGGGTAAGAATTGGGCCAACATGACAAGGTTCTAACTTTCTCAAAATTGTTGTAGCCTGCAGTATCTTCAGGTTCTTTCATTTTCTTTCTGCAAATATTTTTTAAACTAAGCACAAATGAGTTATTGTTATGGAATTATTATTAACACCACAACCCATGATTCATTTTAAATACAGTTTTTTTATTATGAAATATCTTAAGAATCTTCAATTTTTATGCGCATAAATATCAAGAGAACTAACGGTATTCGATATACAACTGTACTTATAAAATTTAGGAGCAGATATTCGAGCTATGAAATTGTTAGTCAAGCAGTGAGTCATTTGCGATTTCCGTTTAGTTTCTTTCTAACTTAACTGACTAGTAACAACCGCTTAAAAATTATTGTAGTTGAATTATCTTTATTCAAATTCGTAACAGTCTCCTTCTGAAGCAGCCATACACGGTGGTTCATTCTCATAATAGTTATTTTTCTCCTCTCATACTTTAGAGATTTACAACATAACTTACAATAATGAAATGCATTAAGATACAAAATCAATAAAAATGCAATATCATAGATATAATCCCTTAATATCAGTTACCTATTGCCATGAGCATGAAACATCTAAAACTAATAAATTTTGTTAGTTCATAGTTTCTGTAAAATCCCAAAATTTTTGTTTTTTGCCAATAAATGTGCGATGAGAATAAAATTGAGTCTCTGACTCCACCAGAAACTGTGGACGAGACCACAAGAACCGTATATAAATCATTAACCTAAAAATCTTCAAAACCTATGAAAAATTTGGTCTGAATTTATGAATTGAAGAGAAAAAAATAAGGTTAGCAGCTTTCTTTAAAATGTAAATTGTTTATTTCGATGAGCTACCAAAAAAGTTAAATCTAAATTCGTGGAGACGGTATTCAATTTTGAAATCTATGTTATTAATCATAAAATGCACTTATCCAAATACTTCAAATTGCACTCCTTGTATGGAAAAGAAAATGAAAATTAAATGCGTTTTTTATAAATGAAATAAAGGAACTTAATAGAGAAGTTCCAGAGTAAAATATTATATAAATGAATGTTAACATATAAATTACCATTATCGCCCAGCAAGCACCTCGAATGAGCATGCTTTGCAATAAAAAACAATTTTTTTATCAACATACTTATGTCAATTCTCCAAGCAGTAACGGCTCGTGAGATATCACGTATGCCATATCTCAATAACAAAACAGAGATATAGAGAACTTTTGTAGAATGAGATCGATTTTACAATTTGCGAAAACAATTTGGAAAAACTGTTGCAGTATCGCGAAGACGTTGAAGGTTAGCTCCATATAAAACCACCATTACCACATATTCAAAATTCGCAGAATTAGCCATTACGACCGACACGCGAAACAATTCGAAATAATCTGCGGGTTGTATTGCATTCTGCATTCTTTCTCAATATCCCCTCTCCATATGTATGACGTGATCTCCAAATTTGCGAGAAAACAATGCGGAAGATGTAATTAACGGTGGTTATTATTATTTATGTGGTTCTGAAGAGGCAACGCTGTATCGCTTCAATGTTCGAACATTTTATGTATGTATTAGGGGGAGTTAAAGAGTAATTTTCTTTTTTATGTCTTTATTAGATCTTCCAAGTATGTGGTTAAAATTAAAGACATTATAACTGAATCACTCTGTATAAATTAAAATTAAAAAGTCTCTTAAATAATGATATGGCCAAACAATCATGTCATAATGATTCAATAGGAGATATGTAAATGTGTTTTTTATTTTTAAATTTATCCTAGGTGGAAAACATAAATAAGTAACATATAAAACGATTTTCTGTATACAAATAATTATTAGATTATTCAAAAAGTTTCGAACCCCCTCTCTATCTCAGAAAATACTGCTCAAAAAAAAAAATATTAAGACAAAAGTTGCAGGGTTTTGAATGAGCAATCGAACGGTGACATTTAGCATGACTTTGAAGGTAATTTAGAGGTCAAGTTGAAAATTTTAAATGGAATCGTATACTTTTCATCTCGGAAATAAAAAGAGCGAAACATTTTACGTTCGAATGTGACCTTGACATTGACCTCGAGGTCATGGTCAAGGTCACATACGAACGTAAAATTTTTCGCTCTTTTCATTTCCGGGGTCAAAAGTATACGGTTCCATTTAAAATTTTCAACTTGACCTCTAAATGACCTTGAAAGTTATGGTCAAGGTCATATCCGAACGTAAAAATGTCAATTTTTTCCATTTTCGTGGTCAAAAGTATACGGTTCCATTTAAACTTTTCAACTTGATCTCTAAATGACCTTCAAGGTAATGGTCAAGGCCATAGTCAAGGTCACCGTTGAATTGCTCACTCAAAACCCTGAAACTTTTGTCCTAATAATTTTTTTGTTTGAGCAGTATTTTCTAACATAGAGGGGGCTCCAAAACTTTTTGAACACCCTGTAGATACTATAAATTAAATTGAAATGGAATAAAAAATTAAACAATTAAATTAAATTTCTTTATTTGTTTGTTAAACCTTTTTTAAAAAATTTTCGTTTTGCTTAGGTATAGTAAATTTCCAAATTATTTTCTTAGTTAAACGTTAATTTAATTAGGTATAATTAGTTAATTAGATAATAATTTAATACATTTTGGAAAATAAACCGCTTATTTTTCATTACTATGACAAAAGTAGTATATGCAGCTGACATTTAATGGATATTAGGACACTCAATAGCTGTCATTGAACGCTCATTGCATAATAGACTATTTTTACACTGTATACAATCTTTTTATCAACAATTATATTGCAAGTATTTTGAAAATATTCCATTGTGCGTGGCTAGCTACGACCGTCTACAATCCCCGGCTTAGTCACCGCGGTTAAAAAAATTATCAGTCCGGCCAGCACATACGCATACGGTCAAAACAGCTCATTGAGGCCTGTTCAGACGAGCGGATTAGCAGCACGGATAAAGCGGCCCCGCAGCCTCGACATCCTTTTTCGTTGTCGATTAAAACCGGAGCCGTGTCGAGCAGTTCTTCAAAACAAACTGCCTGGCTTTTAATTACCACCCGGTAATGGACATACCGTGTTGAACAAGTGACTGGCGCCGGACGGTGACAATTGACGGTCGCCCCACATCGCGGCGACGCGATCCCGATTGGGGCGTTTCGGTTTTTTGAATTTTTTTCAGATAGTGACGCAGGGAGGGCCCGAAATAATTTATTTCCCCGATAGCTGTTAAAAAAAAAACGTATAGGTATTTTGCATTTTGCAACAATATAACATGAACAAAAAATTAAATTATACGAACAATAACCATGTTGAATCATTAAAAAGAACTCGGTTTTTAATCTATTGTGAAATTTTTATAGCAATTAAGTTACTATTATCCTGTAGCACCCGTGGTGCCTTCATGTACTGCTTTATTTAGTTCGAACATTTGTATGAGGTAGCTGGCATGACATTAAATCTATATTGACGTTAATAAATTTATTATTATACGAATTATTTTCATAGTAATGTGTTTTTAATTTGCCCTAGGGGGTTATATAGTAGGATCGTATTCGATGCAAAGTATAGCAAAAAGTTGTCGGTCTTTTATCAAAGGAAAATCGTGTCATCATTTTTAGGAGGCGTAAGATGAACCATTTCAAATTTAAAATGAAATTCAATGTTAAATCTGAAATACCGCTGCATACGCACTGTGTTCTGGTAGTAGCTGTAGTCGTCCAGGTGCATCGAGTGTACGAAGTGGTCGGTTATACGTCAAATACTAACTTGGCGAGCTTGATCGTAAAACAGAGAGCGCCTCCAAAAAACAAGTAAACATCAGTGGCGCGTACAGAGGTAAAATGTAGTACATATGTGGAAATTAAAAAACAAATTGGATTTATAATAAATTACATTTAAAATAAATAGTTTGTGAGAATAAAGGAATTTTGTAGGAACAAGGGTGCCAGACGTGAACTGATCCCTTCGTCCCTTCATAATGTATAAAGAAATTATTCAATTTTTAAAACCCTTAAAAGCGTATGACACTGGATCCCTTGATTTATTACTTTGCATCGAATATGATCCTACTATAGATATTCATTATGCTGTAGAGTTATTTCTAATTTTCTTCTTAATTTTAGAGGTAGATCTGTTAAACCTTAATCCTTTAAACATGATAAAAAGTTATATCTAATAACAAATTTAATTGTCCTCCTAAGTACATTACACAAAATTTTCTGAAATTGTAGTCTAAGTATTACCATTTTTCCGTTCAAGCCGACCCTGTTGCAGATACCGGCGAAAGGATTTTTATGATAGTACAGTGGTAAGGCCCAAGAATGTCCTAATGGTATGATTAACAGGACCTTATCGGTGGTGGTCTATAGAACAGGGTATTAAAGATGTCGTAAGATGTAAACTACTGTAGGGGCTCAACCAGGATTAAGTTCGGGGGTCCTTTAAAATGTCTTGTTGGGGTTTACAGACTTTTATGAAGGCATCAGGATAATGTCACATAAAAATAACAACTTTTGTAAACACTTTTATACTTTTCTTTGTATTCTACTTAAATTTACGATATACAGGGTGCACCGTTTTTCGTTTCCTACAGCTGAGACTTAAATCGTAATCTGTATAAGCAAATATTCTATGAATGTTCTGTTTTATGAAATGATCATTTGCAAACTGAGCTATACCAATTATTTCCGCTCTACACCTAAACGAATGCTGGTGAATTTTACGAATATTCATTAGTAAATATTCGCAGTGGTTTAAGCAGTATATCCACTCATATCGCCAAATTAACAATTATCCAGATCCCTAGATGTATATTGATTTACCAATTCATACAAGCATTAAATTGACTGAATATTCAATTAACAGCGCAAGTGTGGAGACAGATAAATTACAGCAATATACTTGTTCATGCATTTAAAGACCAAATAACTGGCAAAAGTTTTGTGTGGAATATGCAAGGAGATTAAAAATCTATGCAAAAAAATAGGGTAAGATGGAACACTAAAAATATTACAAAGTTGCTTTATAAACCTTGTTCAAATATTAACGGTTTAGAAGTTGTGTGAAACAAAATTATTTCTGG